ATCTGCCTTAGTGACTTGCTTAACCAACAGAATGCAATTTAAGTGATTCCTGGGACCACCAAGTCTGGGTCATAAGAAGCTTTGCAGCTTTTGCCTTATCTTGGGACAGTCTCACTGGGAAACTTGAGCTTGTATGTAAGAAAACCCCCTGCCCCGAGACTGCTGTGCAAGAGAGAGAGCTTGTGCTGTGGGTACTCCAGTTGACAGGCAGTACCAGTTGAGTTCAGCCTTTCAGCTGTTCCTGCTAAGATATGTAAGCAAAATTGTCCTACATCCTCCAGACCAACTCACCTGCCAGCTGAGTCCCACCAAGCTTTCACAGGCAATGTGCCACATGTAGCAGAAGAATCACCCAGCTAACCCGTGCCCTCTACTTCCTGACCTACTAAACCATGAGATATAATAAAATGGCTATTGTTTGAAGCTGCCAAGTTTTAAGCTGGTTTATTACACAGTATCAGAAAACCTCAACACCAGGTATATTGCTTTGCAGCACCATAGCTTAACTGCCACTTTTAGAATTACAGCCAACTGGTCTTGGAGGAGAATGGCTAACATGTTGTTAAATGACTAAATGAACTAGGTCAGGCAAGGGCTGATCAAAGTTACGGATGGTCTGGAGCAGACCACTGGGAATGATGATGGCTTTGTTGAAAGGAAACCGAGACCCATGAGGGTTGTTAAGGAGAGTGTTCAAGAGGAATCTGAATGTGTGGGGTTTTGTCTGAGTGTTGTATAGAATGGATTACTTCAGTGATTTGGGGGTGGTAGTAAGAGAGGGAGAGATCCAGAAAAATGATTTTAGTTCCCTACTTTGGACACTGAAGTTTTTAAAAGATTGACTCTTTTTGGAGAAGAAGGGAAGAAGGGGGTGAGAGAAAGAGGGTATAAAATCACTGCTGTGGTCCCTCACATGGAATATCAACAGAGAAGTGAGCAAAAGGAAGATGACACTGGACTGTATGTGGGGATCTCATGAAACTAAACACCAATAAGTTAGCCATGGGATAAAGTAACCACTCATTCTGGTTTGCTTGGCATAGTCTCAATTTAAGCCTGCTATTCTGCGGTAATTATTAAGAACATTCTCTTTCACTCTCAAAAGCATCTGGTTTGGGATATAAATTATGTGTTTGCCTTGTTTCTGGGGGGCCTGTGTGGCTCAGTAGAAGAGAGTTTGAACACACTGTATCATCTTATTAAGATAACATAGAAGGGGTTTATTGAAAGCTGTGGGATTTTACAAATATTTGTCTTTAGATTTGATATTTCATATATTCAACAAATATTTAATGAGAGCCTACTATACTGTGTTCTTTCATACATGTGACTAAATACTTGGGGAATGTAGGAGTGAAAAAGTCTTGTGTGTTTGGATTAGAAATATTATCAAAGGAGATCCCACTGGCCAAGACAGCTTTAAGTTTTGATGTATCCCCTTTTTAACTCTTGGCCAAGCACAGAGCAATGCCAGTTATAATATAAAAATAGAAAACTAAAAAGGCACAGTTAGACTCAAAAACAAGACATACATATCCGTGGGCCAGAAATAGAACAGAAAGGTAAAGCAGAGGAGGACTGAAGCCACAGTGCAGCTGGGCACTAGTCTGGAGGCAGGCAGGCAGAGATGGTAGCCTAACTCTGGCAGGAAAAAAGGTCTAATGGCACTCAGAGAAGTTAGGGATGGGAACCAGGCTCATAGCTTGAGGTCAGGGGTTCGGTGGGGAGGGAGGCTCTTCTGCTTGTAAAAGTAGAGTAAAAAAGTGTATCATTGCTAGCTGCTGCTTGGGGCTACAGTTTTTAGCAGGCAGAAAGTCCAGGGAAGAAGAACAGTCTTGGCCTGATCAGCAACTGACCAAGCCCCCAATAGATCTTTCAACATTCACCATCTCTCTCTTTAGCAAAAGTTTCAATGCACCACTTTAAGGTATAGTTCTAGACTAGTGTCCTGGTGGAGAGTACTGAAAACCACTAAATAGGAAAGGAGGAAAACACACAAAGAGAACAATCTCCCACTTAAAATGAGCAGCAAATCAAAATTCCAAAACATAAGAGGAAACCAAATACCCAAAACAGCAATTAGATTTTAAATTTATTCTAGATCTATGTTAGCTATTATGGTAGCCACTAGCCACATGGATTATTTAAATTTAAATAAAAAGTAACTAAAATCAAATAAAATTCAAGTGCTCAACTGTCTCATGTGACTAATGGCTTACCATATGGGACCGTTGAGATACAGATCATTTTCTTCACCGTAGAAAGTTCTATTAGGTAGTGCTGTTCTAGATGAAATATACTTTAGGGGACAGTCTAACAAAGACCTTAAAATAAATATGTTTAGGGGCTGCTTGGGTGGCTCAGGTGGTTAAAGCATCTACTTTTGGCTCAGGGCATGATCCCAGTGTCAGGCTTCCTGCTCAACAGAGAGTCTGCTTCTCCCTCTGCCTCCCACCTCCCACCCCCAGCCAACTCATGCTCTCTTTCTCTCTCAAAATCTTAAAAAAAAATATGTTTAATGATGCTTAGAAGATAAATGTAGTATCTTTCACTTGAAAAACAGGGAAATTATAAGACAAAGAATGCAAAAATGAGACAATAAGAAAATTTACCAATTAAAATATTGGTTATTAAATATATGTTCATTGAAACAAAAAATACACTGAATAAACCTTAGACAGTGATTCAGTAATTAGCAAATTAGAAGACAAAAGAGTAATTAAGACAGGTGGAGCATAAAAGACAAAGTGATTTAAATGTTCTTGCAAAAACTAGTAGAAAAGGAGGATTGTAGATAATTTTTGACTTGAATTAAGTCAGGGTTTTGACATTAATTTGAGATGGTCTGAACACCAAGGGCAGCAATTCAGAAAAATAAAATGTGAAGAAGAGACAAAAGCCATTCTCTGAAAGAGAAAAACTGAAAACAACCAGCCAGTTGCAAGGTAGTTATTGGTGTCAGTAGCCACAGGAGCTGGACTCAGCATTTCTAGGACTGTGAGGGGTGTGACCTTCCCGGCTGCTGAAGCTGAAGCCAGCTACATGTACCCTGGTAAAGGCACCATTTGAGGGCAGACTAAAGGAAAAAGGAGCATGTATTACTCATGCTTAAAAACCAGTTTGCCTGAGAGAGGCAGGAAAATGATATTGAGGCAGAAGGCCTAAGCCATGTCAGCCTCTTGAACAAACAGTCTGTTCCATGCATATACAAGTAGGACTCTGGGAAGAACTGGGAATCAGATGAGCCCCAGTGGGTAGGAGGGTGGAACAAAGGGCTAGCCCTGCAGAGTTGAGCATGCTTCCAACCTACCGATAGAGACTGAAGGTGCTGCGAGAAGGTGCTGCACCAGAGGGTGCATCAGAACTGGGAAGGATGTGGCATGTGCTGTAGGGGATTAGATGCTGCCTCTCTGGTTGTCTGGGAACTGAGGAGACCAAACGGGAGGATGAGAAAGACATGGCTGGCAGGAGGCAAGTGAGTCCTCCTCTCACCGCTGAGTACCACGCAATCCCTAACAGTCCCCTGGCCAGGAAAACTCCCTGTCAGAATGTTCTAGAATCATACTGCCCAGGTAGTCACTACACATGTGGCTAGTCCACATTTGATATCTGGAAACACTCTGCACAGGTCTTTCCTCCCACAACTTTTGATTTGGAGATGCTATTGCTGATTTTTCTGGATACCTGAGAGGCATTTGAATTATAATTTTCAAACACACAGTAAGCAAGGGGCGCCTGGGTGGCTCAGTTGTTTGGTTAAGTGTCTGCCTTTGGCTCACGTCATGATCTCGGGGTCCTGGGATCAAGTCCCGAGTTGTGCTCCCTGCTCAGTGGGGAGTCTGCTTGTCCCTCTCCCTCTGCCCCCCTCCCCACTCATGGTCTCTCTCTCTCAAATAAATAAAATCTTAAAAACACACACACACAAAAACCACAGTAAGCAACACCACACACCACCTACAATTTTATCTTTCTTTGAAATTTCCAAAGACACATTAGGAACTTGCTTTTGTTATAAACATCAGTTATCAGCATATGATACTATAATTGCTAAGGTGTAAGAAATTAAGTGTCATCTGGACTGACCCTATGACAGAACCTGAAAGGTGCTGTTGGAAGAGTTCCCTGATTCCAGCTTCTTATTGGTCTCATTTTCAAAAAGCAGAGTAGAGAGGAAAGCTGATTATATGAGCTGACTGCCCAGATTCTGAAGAAATAGTACTCTCCTGTAATTAAATTGTAAGAAGTTAATTGTATTTAAATTGCACAGTATTTGAGAAAATCTGTCACTTCTCAGAATTCACTCTGAGAACAAAATTGAAATGACAGAGTAATTAAAACCTGAAATGTAGACGTTTTCAGGTGGTTCTTGTCCAGGTTGGAATATAATGGTTTTTATTTTCTAAAACTTTTGTTGTGTTATTTTCCTTCACGCTGGTGGGTCAGAAATATTATAACATCTCCACTCACAGGGTCCTGGGTTATTAATCTGAGAAAGGGCAAGCAATTTTTCACACTTTTGTTTATTTGCTTACATCCAGAGGTGGATATAAACCATCACCACCTACTGCTTTAGAAAAATCCTGTTGTGTTTTTTTAAATAGTTTTTAATTGAACAAATACTATTTTCTTTTTATTATTTTTTTGAGTATAGTTGACACACAATGTTACATTAGTTTCAGGTGTACAACTTAGTACTTTGACAAGCTTATATGTTATGTTATATTTACCACAAGTGACGCTACCATCTGTCCCATTACATCGCTATTATAATATCACTGACTGTTATTTCTTATGCTGTGCCTTTTATTCCTGTGACTTATTCATTCCATAACTGGAAGTCTGTGTCTCTCTTCCCTTCACCCATTTTGCCCATCCCCACCCTCCTCCCTTCTGGCAACCATTAGTTTGTTCTTATTTATAGGTCTGATTTTGCTTTTTACTCATTTTTTTTTAGATTCCACTTATATTTTTAATGTTAAAAATCTAAGTAATGGGCCCCGGCGGAGAAGCTGAGGTCATCATCGAATTTGAAATATTTAAAGTGGATACAAAACTGTTTCAGCAATGCAGACAATTAAGTGTGTTGTTGTGGGCGATGGTGCCGTTGGTAAAACATGTCTTCTGATATCCTACACAACAAACAAATTTCCATCTGAGTATGTACCAACTGTTTTTGACAACTATGCAGTCACAGTTATGATTGGTGGAGAGCCATATACTCTTGGACTTTTTGATACTGCAGGGCAAGAGGATTATGACAGATTACGACCGCTGAGTTATCCACAAACAGATGTATTTCTAGTCTGTTTTTCAGTGGTCTCTCCATCCTCATTTGAAAATGTGAAGGAAAAGTGGGTGCCTGAAATAACTCACCATTGTCCAAAGACTCCTTTCTTGCTTGTTGGGACCCAAATTGATCTCCGAGATGACCCCTCTACGATTGAGAAACTTGCCAAGAACAAACAGAAGCCTATCACTCCAGAGACTGCTGAAAAGCTGGCCCGTGACCTGAAGGCGGTCAAGTATGTGGAGTGTTCTGCACTCACACAGAAAGGCCTAAAGAATGTATTTGACGAAGCAATACTGGCTGCCCTGGAGCCTCCCGAACCGAAGAAGAGCCGCAGGTGTGTGCTGCTATGAACATCTCTCCAGAGCCCTTTCCGCACAGCTGGTGTCAGCATCGTACTAAAAGCAATGTTAAATCAAACTAAAGATTAAAGATTAAAATTCGTTTTTGCAATAATGACAAATGCCCTGCACCTACCCACATGCACTCGTGTGAGACAAGGCCCGTAGGTATGGTCCCCTTCCCCCTCTCATTACTAGTTAATTTGAGTAATTGTGTATTGTCAGAAAAGTGATTAGTACTAGTTTTTGTTTTGTTGTTTCATTTTCTTTTTTTTGTTTTGTTTTGTTTAAAAGCAAGGCATGCTTGTGATGACTCTGTAACAGACTAATTTAGGTTGTTGAAGCTGCTCCTGGGCTCCATCCACTCTGGAGAATGATCTGGGACATTTAGGTTTTGTTTTGTTTTTCTTTTTTCTTTTTTTCTTTTTTCTTTTTTTTGCGGGGGAGGGAGGTGGGGTGCGGGGAGTGTGTGTGGGGTTTGTTTTTATTTAGTCATGTTTTTTAAATTCATTAACCATTGGACAGCCCTTAAGGGGAGGAGGACGGATTGATTCCACATTCCACTTCCTAGATCTAGTTTAGAAAACTTGTTCCCCACCTGGTGCTCTTAGGAAGGAGTATAGTAAATGCCTCATTTAATAACATACTCCTCTTTGAAAGTTGCCTTTTCTCTCCACCCTTGAGTAGGCCCAGTATTTGATGAAACTCATGAAAGTGGGTGGAACCTGTCTTGCCCCTCCTCTTTTTCTAGGATGCACTATATATGTGACTGTGACTTTCAAGGAAATTTGTTTGCCATTTGCTGATTTTTTTTTCCTGAAGTTAATTTCTAACTTCTTTCACTGATAAATGAAGAAAAGTATTGCACCTTTTGAAATACACCAAATGGATTGAGTACGTAATTAAAAAACATTTTTTTTCCCTGTCAAAAAAAAAAAAATCTAAGTAATGCAGGTAAGGCAAACATTCTTGTTACTCTCCATATCCCTATCTACTCTGCTGCCCAGAGAAAACTGGGTACCTGTTTATGTGTCCTTACTGAGAGACCTTGCCTCATTTACACATATCTACACCTACCCTGAAATACATAGTTTAGGTTGACCTTTCTAAAAATAACACCATATTATAACATTGTTCAGGCATATCTTTTGGAAAATGTTCCATGTTAATATCAAGGAACCTTGTTCCTTTTAACTGCTGGGTTGCCCTTGAATAGCTGTGCCCTATTTATTAAACCATTCCTCCCTTTATGGGCACTTAAGACCCAATTTATCAGTGAATTAAAATGCCAAGTCAAAGCACGTTTTTTTTAAGCATGTCAGATAGGAGGAGTTTATGCAAGGATGCAACCAACAATATGAATGTGTTAACATATATGGATTGCTGCAGGGGCGGGGAAAACATAAACAGGACTGCATATTGAATCTTTGGACTCTAATAGGGAGCCCTATGTAGCCTAAAATGCCACTGGGAAACCTAGTGAAGGAAAGACTTCTAAATCTTTGTAGAGGCCCGTCTGATTCTTACTTGTGTTACTACTCCCTTATTTCAAAGAAAGGTTTTAAAATTAGGTTTGGCAGAAAGGCCCAAGGCCAGGAAAACTCAGGTAGAGCCCAGGATTAAAATGGTCTGAAGACACTCTCTCCACCTGTAGAGCTTCTTGGGATAAGCCATTATGTGTTGAGGTAGTCAGCCCAATAATCCTAATCCTAGAATTGGAAGGAACCATAGAGATGACCAAAGACCACTCTTTATTTGGTGGAGACGGTAACCAAAGCCCAGAAAGGAAAGCTGACTTGGGCAATGTCCCAGAGCTAGTTAGTGTCAGAGCCAGGAGCAGAGCTACCCTGAACCAACCCTCTACTTCTTGTGATAGCAGTCCTCTCCATCACTACCCAGTGTGTCAATTGTTCCTGTGCTTCTGCCTGGAAGTGCTATCTCTGCTCACCACTTTCTTAGCAATGTGACTAACAGTTTCCATTTAAGCGAAACCTCTCTGTCCTTGGTTACAGGGCACAGAGAAAGACGCTTAGCCAGCCAGGGTTGTTCCCAGCTTTTGTGGTGTCTACTGCAAGGTTAATTTTTATCTGATGCTATGCCTCTGCACATCTTTGAAGCACAGCTGTTTGGCAAACCACACCACACATACCTTGCTTAAAGTGGTCATTCATTTCTCCACTGAAGTCAATTTTGCAAACTCTAGTGGAATGACCAGGCTCTGGCCCTCATTCTTCCCCTCCTTGGTCTTACTACATTTAAATATGGGAATCCTCTGACCCCTATCTTCTCTTCTTTTGCCCTGGCACTCTAACCCTTATACTTCCTGATTTCCTTCAGGGCCATATTACTTTTGTTGTGATTCTGACAGACTATAAAAATGGCTGCAGTTCTTCCCTTCACAGTATTTATGCTCCTTGCATTTGACTTTGAAGTTCTTCTTATCAAGAGGTCAAGTTTGTTTTCCCACCCCTTTAATCTGGGCTGGCTGTGTGACTTGCTTTGGCCAAAAGAATGTGTTTAAAGTGACAGTATGTCAGCTCTGAGTTTGGACTTCAAAAGTTCTATACATTTCTATATATGTTTGTTCTCTTGGACACCTGCTCAGCCTCCAAGTGAACAAGCTTGATCTAACCTGCTGGAGCATAAGACACCATGTGGAGCAAAGATGAGCTGTCCCAGATTAGCCAGACTTCTAAACTCACTTGGAAGCTGAGTACAAAGGCATGAGTCAGTCCAGCCTGTAAAGCTGACCTATAGAATTGTGATCTAAATAAATGATGGTTGTTTTAAGCCACTAAGTTTAAGGGGTTTGTTATGTAGCAAAAGCTAACTGATATAGATCCCTTTATTCCTGTCTGCAGGAATGTTTATTAAATTGGGCCTCTCAGGGCAATGAGACTATGTTTCCCACTTAGTTCTGTATATTACCTAGATTAGTAACTTAATAGAAACTTAAAAAAAATATTTTCTTGAGGGGGATAGGGAAATGGTGAAGACTGATGAAAATTTGATTCCCACTTTTCCTCTATAATCACCCTACCCCAAACTCTATAGCCCGTGATTAAGGAAATAAATGGAAATCACAGTATGTAGGACATGCCATTAATCAATACTAATAAGGACAATAAGACAAGTAGTAGGAAATTATATCCTTACAAAAGGTTGTATAAAAATACACAAGGAACACTTAATAAACTTCTATTGCTTTACTCAAAAAACAAAAACAAATAAAAATACACAAGGAATATTATCTAGGGGCAGGGTAAAAATCTTATAGTTTTTCAAATATCTTGCTTCCCTGATTTTTGCTGCCATTTCTTTGCCACTGTCATAGATTCTTACCTTTGAGCCTGCCTCAGTTCCTTTAGAAAAACAGCTCATCTATCCCACCCCAGACTCTGTAGCAGGGGAGGGCTGGGGGTTACGCCTCCAGACTGCTATGGCCAGGGCCGTTTCAAGTCCTTTTTAGACCCTGGACACGAACTTCTGGAGGCTCTCCCCACACCACATTTAACATGTTAAAATGTGCCTATATCCCACAATTTAATATAATTTATACATAACTCTAAGGGTCAAGTTGCACTTGACTAGCTGATATGATATTATTTATTAAATAATTACACATTTTAATGGTTACTTTGCAGTTTTCTTTCTGTATTTTGGAGTCACTAATTCTGCTGTTGATCTTCAGGTCTGAAACATTTTCACAGACCCTTGAAGGGCTCACAGGTTCTGGGCTCTGTGCCTATAGGTACCTAACAGGAAAGTCATCCTGGCCTAGTCAATCAACCAACAGGTATTTATTGAACACCTAATATCTACAAATCATCACACTAAAGTCTTCATCAGGCAGTAATTTACCATGCCCAGCTACTGAGCTAAGTGCCCAGCAGTTCTTACCTTTGAGGGTTCTTATTTAGCTAAGCCTTGGCTCAAAGTAAAGCAGATGAAAAGAATTGTGGAGCTTGCACCTTTTCAAACCTCCAGGGCCTTTTCCCTTAATCCACCATAAGGGCGAGCAGAGGTTATTTGAGGTCATCACCACCTTCAACCTCTGGCAGCAAAGGAAGGCTGAACAGATAGTCCTAATTCCTACTTGCACCTGACCTTGGGTTAAGTTCTTAAATTCCTTCCCTAGCAAAGCCAGGATGGTCTCACAATGGACATGGTGATCTCTAGGCCAAAAGCAGGATTTGGGAATAACAGGTATCCGCAAACTCAAAGCTGACACTCGTCTACTCAGAGATGATGGTGGGGGTAACATAGAGGACTTCCTCCACGAGCTTAGCCTTTCTGTGCTGTGTCAGAATGCTGTGTCAGAGTATGCTGGTTTGCCAGAACCTTGCAAGACATACTTTACAGTCTGAATAGGCAAAACACTGAACTATCAAGTGGCTCCTGTGGTTCAGCAATCTTTAGGCCATTGGGAAGGGTCTAGTTTTACAGTAAGCCCCCTCAAGCCTCGTTAAAGGAAGCACCTTAAGAATTAACTCAAGGGTGGTGTTTTACCTGGCTTCTCAAACTCTCCTGGGCATACAGATGCCTTGGGAATACTGTTATAATGTAAATTCTGGGGTGCGTGGGTGGCTCAGGTGTTAAGGGTCTGCCTTCAGCTCAGGTCATGATCCCAGGGTCCTGGGATCGAGCCCCACATCGGGATCCCTGCTCAGCGGGAAGCCTGCTTCTCCCTCTCCCACTCCCCCTGCTTGTGTTCCCTCTCTTGCTGTGTCTCTCTCTGTCAAATACATAAATAAAATCTTAAAAAAAAAAAAAGTAAATTCTGATTCAGTAGGTCTAGGGGAAGGCCTGAGAGTCTGCATATCTGTCTCTGGCATCGATGCTGAACGCTGAACTACACTTTGAATAGCAGGCCCTTTACAGTTTACCAAGGGCCTCTCACATACTTTGTCGCATTTGATTAATCCACCAACTATGTGAAGCCTTAGCATCCCCATTTCACAAAAAAGCAATAGGCTCAGAGTGGCTTGCTTTAAAACTACCAGCTAGTAAATGGCAGAGCCAGCATTTCTAATCCTAGTCTTTTGATTTCTAGTTCAGCGTCATTGCCATTCACTCCAGCCCCAGACTATTTTTCTTATTACTTTTACCTCCCATGTCTTGTG